AAGCCAATGACAATTCCGAGGGTAGGTTGTTTGCGCTCGCGAGGCCCAGGATGATCAACCACTTTCTGTTCAATGGCTCCGTTTACTGACTTGGATGTCGTGTCTGTCCATTTCAAGATTCTTTTTCCAACTCTGAGGAGAATGCCCTGTCATCGGTGCGTGTCACACGACTCAACTCGCTAATAAAAGTGGCTTATGGATAGACGGTAAGCTATAAATATGCCAACGTCTGCATCCTCAGGCAGAAGATGAGAAGGACATAAATCGCCTCTCAACATTCCCATTTCCTCCTTGTAAGAACTCCATCAACCGAAGGTTCAACACGGAGTGAGTTGTTTTCAGTCATATTTCAACCACCGCCGCAGGTTTTCCACGACAGTAATTTATCGTAACTTTGTCTGCCTTTTTGAAAAGTTTCGACTTGGACTCCTGGGGCAGTGATGAGAATGACAACGTTCCAGGTCTCATTCAGGACGCGTCATTTGCACGAGCACCGACATTTTCGGCCTGCTTTAAGTGGGTCGAAATTGTGTTTCAGGTCAACATGGCGAACTCTCTCTCTGGGATTCCTGGAACTCTCTACATTCTCATCTGTTTCCCCCCGATCTGGTCAATATGCCTACTGTGAACGCACATCGATACAGGTCCAGCAGTCCAAGGTAGTTGTCATTGCCCATAAAAACAAAGGAAAACCAACTTGTTAAAACTTTTGCTATAAACGCAATCATTGTATTACAGAAATCTCAGTAGGATTGGGCTTTCACAGACCGATCCTACAGCCCGTGCTATCATTATGCTCGCTTTATTTTAGGATAGCTCCCATCTCACCATCTTCAAGCCCTCCCGTCTCGCCAAAGCACGGAGGAGCCAGTCTGGCTGATGACATCACGATCATTGGTGGGAACCAAACAGGAATCTTTGTCGGCTCCGTTCAAGCTGGTTCGGCGGCAGAACAGTGTGGGCTGAAGGAGGGAAGCGAGCTCCTGGAGGTATGCGTCACGATGGGCAGACAGTCGAAGCATCTGGGAGAAAAGCTTCTCATTAGAAATACGAGAAATTTGATATTTTTGATCCCACAAAAAACAATTATTAGACTGTCACAAAACGATGCAAATTGATGCTTATTTATTTATTTGTCTTTCCAATCAGTGTAGCTACTTTCCAACATGATAATAGATGAAGAGATATGGTGTAGGGTCCTGGTTAAAACACCCACTTATGGTTCCTAAGCACATGAAAGTGTTCGAGTGAAAAAAAAAAATAGGAGAAAGGATGGAGAAACTTAACTGAGCTGATTTCAACGTTTTTTTTTTTTTTCTATTCAGCTAGAGCATGTTCTCTCCGGTGGAGGAAATGTTCTGCTCAGCCAGTGCACTGCCGAGGTAGCGCACTTCTCTCTGCAATGGTGGACTGAAGCGTCTTCACTCAAACACCGGAGCAACCCTGAGGGTGAGTCCATTTGCACTCAAAACAAAACGCAGTTTGTCATTTATTCAATAATTCATCTGAGAGTTGTCCCACTGCTTCTTGTCCTCAGCGTATGCCAAGCTGCGCTCTCAGCTTTCCTTGCCTACTTTCAAGGGTGCTGACTCGTTTCATGCGCGGGTCAATCTCAGCATGGAGCCTTTCGGAGACCCGCCGTCTCTAGCTGTGTCCTGTAACGACATCATACACGTCACAGACACCAGGTGCAACGGCAAATATCATTGGCGCTGTTCCCTGGTGGACCCTCGCACAGCCAACCCCCTGCAGGCGGGAAACATGCCCAACTATAATAGGTGGGCCAAGTACAGTCAGGACATTTCATCAATGATGGAGAAATGCACGGTCATAGTCACCCATTATTTTTAATTTTTTTTTTTTTTTTTTTTTAGCTTTCCTGTACTGTTGCACTAAAGCACATCAAAATAAGAGCTGCCTCGAAAATTTTCACTCTGACTTAGTTGAATGACAAAAATGAAACACCTCTCAATGTGATAAAGAACCTTTTTTTTCTCAAATTTAGCCACAAAATGATGAATATCAAAATAATAATCATGCTGATCACTCACTTCTTGCCATTATTTTTCATTTAAGGGCACAACAGTTGTTGCTTGTCAAGTTACGGAAAATGGCCGTGGCGCAAAAAGACTTCAAAAAGAAGGTGATGTTTTAGTCATTTGGATATTCGTTTTGCGAGATGAGGTTCAGGTATTCATTCACCATATCTTGCAGTTCCTGAAGAAGTCCTCTGGCCGAGTTCGTCTGGTAAAGGCGGCAGACCCCAAATGCAGTGGGGTAGGGGCCACACAGCAGGTTCTTTACACACTGAACAAAGGTTAGTACCTTTTCTCTTGCTGGGGGGCCAAAGTTACAAAACCAATTGTTTCTCTTGAGTTATACACGTCATGTTTTCTGCGCATTTTCTTTTGCATCAAAGTGTGTGTGCGCGTGTATCGATTTAGGGCAAGAGGAGCATTTGATCCCTTACAGCCTGGTGCAGCCAGTAAAGGTTGGATCCAAGCGGCCTGTCATCTTTTCGCCGTCTCTCCTGTCACGTGGTCTCATCGAGAGAATGATGCAGCCTGTCGATTCTGGATTACAATACAATACCTGTGCACCAGGTAGGAGTCAAATTATGAGGATTATTCCAACTACGAATGCTAAAACAGCACCTTATCTCTGAACTACACACGAGTAGTTTGCTTTATGTTAAGAACAGTACTTAACATAAGGCAAACTAGTATTCACTTCTGAACGGAATTGGAATTTCCTTTTAATGCTCTTCTGAGCTGTGTGGGGAGGAAATGACTGTTTGTCTGATGCGCACAAGACAAGAAATCATGTCGGATCCTAAATAATCTGGATTATTGTCACCAATCTCTGCCTCTTTTGTAGAAACAATACCAGCCTCGGAGAGGAGAGACAAGACAATATTTCTGTTAGATTCCCAGGCTCAAGCACCAACTCTGGGCATACGGCTCGAGTCCATACAGGAGGTCATCACCCAGGTGATACAAAACATTGTTTCTTAGATTGTCAGCAGGTGACATTATAACAATATTTATCACCTCAGGGTTCACACACAAACTCCCCATCAAGCGACTTTGCAGCTCAACCCACAGCTACTTTTACTAATTTAATGCACTGCATGTCTACGGTGAAAATACAGTAAAGTTACATTGCTGAGCTTCTTCAAATTCACATCTTTTATTAACCGTTTTAGGACAAACACTGCTTGTTGGAGCTCGGGCTGCCTTGTGTTGAGGGTTTGCTGAGACAAGGGATTTATCCTATTGTCATCCACATCCTGCCAAAGAGCAAAAAAAACAAGAAGCTCAGGTAAGAGCCCATTCAATGGTTTGAATGTGTGGTCAGCATAATTTATCCCCAGTAGTCCTCTCAATATGTTCCAGAAGTCGTGTAGTAGTAGGCCCAAATCGTCATCAAAAACGAGAGAAGTTTTATTCCTTAAAATTATATTGAACATTATTGTAAGCCACTGCAACATTGTGCACAGTTTCAACATTACAACTCCACTTAAATGTAGGGAAACTAAAAACCGTACATGAATAGTGTTTTAATAAAAAGAGTTTTAAGGAGTAAACATACGCCTACATGTTTTTTTTTTTTTTTAATAATGACTGCAATTGTCTGGCAACTAGTTCAGGCTGTACCCCGCCTACTGCCCGAAGCTCCAGTACACCTACGACCCTCGTAAAGATGAGCAGATTAGAAAATGAATGGATGGATGTTGTGCATGAACTTGTTATCCAGTAATACGCAGTAATTGCCTCTGAGGCAATCCAACCATTTTTTTCTCACCCTTGCAAACAGAAAGTTTTTTCCACGGTGTGAGGATGAAAGCGTGATGGAGGAGATGTGCCAGGCGGAACAGTTGCAGCTGGAAACTCTGCCACTGCTCTACTGCACTTTGGAGCCCGGCACGTGGAGCTGCACCGAAGACCTGCTCGCCGCCATACGCAATGCCATCAGTAGTCAGCAGATGTCAGTAACTTGGGTTGAGCTCGATAGGCTGCAGTAATGTCGACCAGTATTCGATACTTGCAGAATGAATACTACTGTATTACTAAGGATGTGTCAACAAACCGCAACCAGATTGTGGGTTAACTTTAAATGTTTAGTTTAATTGAGTAGACTGGATTATTATGTTGGCATAGCTGTACTTGTTCTCATAGTGCCACGATTTATTTACTTTTCATCCACTTGCTGCATTTGGGGATAGAAAAAGGTACTTAGCCACATACTGTAGGTCACTCGCTGGTTATTCAGTGCTGTCTAGAGTTGCTATTTAGGACACAAAGAGAGTTTGTATTTTGTCCATTAAAGCTGTGTCAAACAAATCATACAAGTGACTCGCTGTGGGGACTCCTGACAATACAAGGCATTTATAAGTAAATAAATTTATGTGCTTAATCTTTTGTGCTCCTTTCTCAAATAGTGGGGTGGGTGCCCATGAAGGGCGATCCTTAACACGACACTTTCATGCTACTGAAATATCACTGGTTGGTTACTGCTTAGCATACCATGAAGAAAATGTGCTTGAATAAAAAGGAATCAGTACACCTGAAGCTGATTTCATGAGTGCTTTATCTGGTATGTTTTTATTATGATGATTAGTCGACCACCGTGCCGCCCTATTATGGTGATGATGATGATTATTATGAATCGGGGATTGCTTTACTTTTGATTCTGTGTCATGTCACCCTTTCCATTTTCACATTTAATAGTACTGTATTAGTTTTAATGTAATTATAAAAGTGACGTTTTCCGGATTTGCAATCCACGGCACTCTTAGCATTTCCCTGTATTACCGAAAAGGTGAGCCAGCAATGCTTGAAAAGATAACAAAAAATGTATAAAGTACATTGTCCGTTTTTGAAAAGGTTTCTTAATAGTCATCTAATACTGGAATGGCGCTGTTGTTTACCTCTATTTTATAACGACATCTCCCTCTGGTGGACAGTATCATCACGGCAATCTCTCCTCCCCTCGGTGATCAACAACCAGCCAGTGAAATGTTATGCTGCTTTGCTAAACCTCCACAGTCCACACAGAAGCAAAATGGCCGATAGCAAACTAACAGATCTTACAGCGTCTGCCACTCACCTGGGGGTTACTATGTGTGTTTTGTTTACAGCCTGAGAAGTATAGTCGTGCAAAAGGATACTAGCCTTCCTACGATTCACGTTTCGGTGATGTCATTTCTTATCCAACTTAGCCTTGAAAGCCTCGAAGAACTAGCTCGCTAAGCTAGCTTACCTAGCTAGCCCGTAGGTCTGCGAGCATTTTTTGTTTGCACGGGACGCACTTTATTTCCGATGTGATTCCCGAGGTGAGTCAACGTTTTGCCTTATATCAGTATTTTTTTGCATCTTTCGTCGTTTGTATGCTCGTTATAGCCGTTACGTAGGTCAAAGGCATTTTGGTGTCTGCTTCGACTGCGTTGCAACCTGGGACGTAAGTGCATCGTAAACCTAAGTTATTAATAAATAACATGTTGTTGACAAGTGACATGTAATATCGATGATTGGGTGTACTGGATAGTAGGCTCTGGCTGGAATTTCTGCTTCTATTTTGTGGCCATTTAGCATATTCTATCTATAAGTTAGTTCCAATGGGGTGCACAGTTTGGCAGTAACGGGTTTATTGACTTGGCTTGCTGACTAGATCCGTCGGGCGTAGCTGTGTCCGACGGTCATTACCCCCCATTCCCCTTCCCCCTTTGCCCCCCAGGCTCTTCTGGTCACTGCGTCCGTGCATCAGCTCGCGGGTCTGCTAGCTCCTTCAATTGTGGTGGCCCCGAGTGTCCTTATCAAACATTGCATTGGACTCAAACGCGTGGACGTGTTCTCAGAATGTGTTTGTATGTATGTTGATGTTCTAATGTCGTAATGATCATACATTAACGAGATATTCCAACGTTGCTGCGTTACAATTCCAGGGCGTGTTTTTCGAGCTCAACTGAACATTATTTATAGCGCACTTTAAAAACAACCAGCGCTGCATACAAAAAGTGCTGTACATAAATTAAAAATAAGATACAGATCAACAAAGACAGTTAAAACAACACATGTGTTATGTGTACACTGTTTAATTCACAGACTGGAGAATCGGTAAAGGGAAGAGCAGTTAATGGAAGACAAGAAAAAGAAGAAAGACGACAAAAGGATAAAGGAAACTTCTCAAAAGGTCAACAGTGGCATGGTTTTGCATTGCTCATCTAATTGTTTTTAGTTGACCTTCTCGTTATCTAATACATGTGACCAGCATTTTAATAGGATAGGTTATGGTTTGGATCAGGAAGCTGTGGAAGTCTTGCAATGGATATAGAAAGTGTATACACCCTTGTTCAGTTGCCAGATTTTTATGATCGTAAGAAATGAGACACGGTTAAATAATTTCAACACTTTTTCGATCGTTTATGGGACCCATAACATGGACAACTCAATTGTAAACAATTGAAATCTTTTCAAAAATAAACAACTTAGGGGGTCGCAAAACTGCAAATCATGTTGTGTTCAGACTTAACTAATCACATTCAAAGCGGTGCAAACTTTTCTGCATACGCCTGCCACCATTTGAAGTGCCTCCGATGAACGCCGGAAATTTTAAGGCGTTCTGGTCAGCGTTTCCTGACATTTTTTGCACATCTTACAGCACAAGCTGAAGTTCACAGAAAGTGTCGTCAGGATCAGAGTGATCTTATTGACAGCAACATTGAAGGAGTTGCATTTGTGGCAAGTACTGGCTGTTTAGTACGTGAGACAACAATCCGTTTTCTTCATGTGTCTGGACGATGCGTAGACAGATAAAAGCTTTCGTTTAAAAAGAAAAAAAAACCCTTGAAATTTCCCAAATGCACTGTGTCACGATGTGCTGAAATTAACACGTCATAAAAACTTGCCATTTGAACACAGGTCTGTCGACTTTTTCTATCCACTGCACACGCATTTGTATCTTACCTTTTGTTATGAATTGGAACATGTCAGGCTGGCTCAACATCTGACCCATTTGCTCTTTTTTCTTTAGGTCCCAGAACAGAACGTCAAAGGTAAATACATTTTTTTTAACTCTGTCGTTATTGCATTTCATAATGCCTCTAATGGGTTCCATTTCTTTCTGCAAAGTATTATATGCTAGTATGAGGGATGGGGGAGTAATCGATAATTAATAAATGTAAGTTTATTTGTTTGTTTAAAAAAAATGAAATACATTTTTGCAGGTAGTTAAAAGTGCGTCCCCATTGACATGCCCTGCTGATTCACAACAAAATGACTGTGAACAGAGTAGAGCTATTTTACAAAAGCACAGTGAGTGTTGCCAAGTTATGGATGTGGTAGCAACAGTATAAATAAGCAATTTTCTAGTCTAGTGGCTATTTCACAAAAAAAGCAAGTTGTGTCACCTTATTTCCTGTTAAGAAACGGTCAACAGCAAAAAGCATGGCATCCATTTTATACGGTTGACCCTTTAACCCGAGGTACACTTTATTGTTCCAGTGCCAGAATCAACCAAGCCCTCCTGTTCCCAGCAACCCACCACCCCAACCTCAGTCTCCCCCAGCCCTGGCCCTGTTGACCCCTCGTCCCCAAATTCTAGTGCCACTGGGTTCTCTGCACCAGTTCTTCCTGGTGGCGGGAACAATGCAAAGCAGCGGACTGCTGTGGCCAACGGACAGCCCTCCTCCCTTTCTGGAAACCAAACTCCCCAGCAGCAGCGATACATGTCTAGAGAGGTTCCACCAAGATTTCGCTGCCAACAGGACCACAAAGTGCTACTGAAGAGGGGGCAGCCTCCACTGTCCTCCATGCTACTCGGGGGAGGTGGGGGAGATGAGAGCACTGGTGGGGTTGGGGTAGGCAGTGGCTGGGGTGCCGCGCCACCCCTTTCCTCAAAAGAAGCAGATAACTCCAATGCAAATACAGACACAGGTAGGTTCCACAAAACAATCATGATAGTTTTGTGTCTGCAGTCCATTCAAGGTTATGGGCCACGAACATAGATTTGAACTTTTTACACTTTTTTTTTTTTTTAAATTTACCGAAACGGTATCAATCAAGCAGTTGATAGGATACTTAATAACAACAAAAGTTAAACATTGTGTCATATGTAAAACCAACCTTTGCTAATCGCTTGTTGGAATGCTTGTCTTTTTTTCCCTTAGATTCAAACTTGGGTTCATCCTCTCCTTCACCACCCAACACAGCATCCTCATCAGGTGTTACTGCTCTGTCGTTATCCTCATCTTCTACCAATTCAACTTATGCAAATTCCACATGGGGGGCAGGATCTGTCAGCCTGCCCCCCTCTCAGGGTTGTGACAAGATCATTGTGGACGGGACTGATCTGGACAGCTGGCCTAGCATCCAAGGCACAGTCAAATTAAGTTCTGATGGATCTGGAGGAAGAGTGCAGCAGCAAGACGGCCCTGGTAACAAAAACAGTAGTGCCTCATTTCATGAGAAGAACCTCCAGCAGATAGGCGGAGTAGCTGAAGGAGGTGCAGGGAAAGTGTACAATCCCTCCCCTCCTATTTCTTCTCCTCTTTCCTCATTTTCATCACAAAATGAATGTGTTCAGACAGGCAGCGTCATGTGGAGCTCATCCACTTCCCCTCGGGCGGAAGCAGGATTGGGATCAGCAGCATTTTATAATTCCAAAGTCTCCCATCTGCTTCCTGGACCTCAAGAGAGTCCCGCAGATAGCAACAGCAGTCTCCCCGGTGCCATTTTAAACCCCAGTGTGAACCCCTCCGCCTGGCCAGCCCTCGTGCAGGGGAAGACATCGACTTCAGCCACTTCGCTACATTTGTCTTCAGTTCCTGCCAGCACCACCTCTCTCCCTCACAAGCACACGGAGACAGCAGAATTAGACACAAGTACAGAACAACAGCATCCCTTGGGAAACTTTGAGCAAGAGCTGGATTCAGGTGAAGGAGCACAGGGAGCTGGACCAGGACCAAATCGAGAAGATGGTGACAAGAGAGAAACTGAGTCTGGTGCTGAAGGAGAAGGGAGTGCGCATCGATGTGGTCCTTTGTCTTCCTCTTCTGCTGTCTCTTCCTCTTTGAAACCTTTGACTGCAGTGCCCTCTGCTCCAAGAACAGGTGCTTCACAGGAAGATCATTGGGGCGGACATGACACTGGGATCCATGAACAGGATAAAAATCCGGGGAGCTTTGGGAACCAGGGTGACAATACAGGGTGGGGAAGGGAAAGCGCAAATATCGAAACGCTATCTCAGGGAGGGTGGAAAGACAGGAGCTCAGCAGTGGACTGTGGAGACACAGACGAATGTGTAAGTTCAAATAACTTAGCAATAGCAAGTGCAACAGGGGGTTGTGGGAGCAACAACAACAACAACAACAGTGAAGGCGGCGGTGGAAGTGCTTTGCCAGGATCTGCGTCACCAAAGTTAGCAATGATGGAAAATGCTTGGGACAATCAAAAAGGGATGGAAAGTGGGCACGTGGTCCAACAGCAAGGACAAAGCGCTGGTGGTGAAGGACAAGCCTCCTCTAGTGGAGATGGAACAAAAAATGATGGCGAAAAAGGGACTGGTAATGAGCAGAAGACACATGGAGCCCAGTCTGTGCTCGCCCTTTCCAACCAGACCTCCGATGCTGAAGTGGCCTTACTAGGCATGCTCAATCGATCTGACCTGGATCCCAGGGTTTTGTCCAACACGGGTTGGGGCCAGACCCAAATTCGTCAGAATGTGGCCTGGGATCTGAACACCACTAAACAAGTAGGGCATCGAAATGAAAAAATGTCCTCATCTTCCACATTCTCATCGGGAACAATGCCCCCCAACAATCGCAGTTCTGGGTTCATCTCCAATTCCAGGCTAAATAGTAATGATGAGTCTGACAATGTGACCTCTGGCCCTGCTTCAGTGAGGGACTCTTGGGATGGCGGTGGTCCACAGGTTACTTGTGGTTCTCACATGTCCGATGGCGTTCTACACAAGCCCAAAATGCTGGACAAGGAGGACAGTCCAGGAAATGCAACTCGAAGTTGGGGCGATCCTCCACCTGACAACCAGGGCAAAGGGTGGGGTGACGAACACCAGTGGGGGGACCACAGAGGTGGGAATTGGAGAGACAAAGGAGAGCAGAGCAGCGGGTGGCCTGTTGGCCCAGAAGACAAAAGGACAGGGGGGTGGAAGGGAACTGAAAGAGGAAAGGTAGGTGGTTGGGGAGACTGGGGCCAGGGTGAGTCCAAACCTGGAGGTGGGTGGGGAGATGGACGATTCCGAAGTGCAAACAGCTCGGATGAAGTATCCTCTTGGGGTAACCCGGATGAAAGTGCACCTCAGCGGGGAGGATGGGGAGAGGGAGATGTGGTTAAGTCTCCCCACGACTGGGGGGGTTCCCAGCCCCACGCAGCAGGTCCGACACCAAACAACCAAGTGGCCGCAATGAAAACCCCAAATCAGCATCACCAATCACAGGGACATCACCAACCAGGAAGAACTCTACAAGGAGGTTGGGACAGCCGGCCGAATGTTGGAAGTGGGGGTCCGCCATCCAAGAATCAGAACCAAGGTTCGGGCTGGATATCTGGCCCCATTCCTCAAATCTCTGGGGATGACTCTGTGAAACCGAGTGGCTGGGATGAGCCCTCTCCTCAGTGCATCAGTCACAAAATGGAAATTGATGACGGAACTTCAGCCTGGGGAGATCCTACCAACTACAATGGCAAAAATGTGAACTTGTGGGACAAAAATAGAGCCCCATCTGGCGAAAGCCACAGTCAGCAGGCTTCCGCACTGCAGCCATCTCGACGACATCAGGGCTTGCCACACAGGGACGCTAACGCCGGAAATACAGTTGTTGGTGAGCATTATTTTTGCTGTGGCAGATTTGTGTTGCACACTTTTTTTAAGGGAATATTTGACTTGCTGTTGAATTGTCCACGAAATTTGACTGTTTGTTTTGATAAATCTGCACATCCAGGTATGTGGGGAGGGGGCACACAGTCTCTTGACAATGGGTCAGGTGCTTGGAACCAGACATCGGATACAGCATCGGGATGGGGTGACTCAGACGATCCTAAAATGTCTGGCTGGGGAAACCTCTCACCCAACCCTGGTAAAAGTAAGTCAGAAATGATCACGCATTATCATTAATAGTTTTCTATCTCAAGTCGAAATATAATTTATAGTTTAGTGCATAGTACACAGTGTTTTTTTTTTTCCAGTTTTGTACAAATCAGGAACTTTTCTGATGCTGTGTAACCATGGTAACCATTTTTAAAATATACAGAGCTTTACACACCCACTTTGATGATGCATATTACAGGATCTGATTAGGCTACTACTCCTTAGCATCCTTCTGTATAATTACGTTCCAGACAATAGGCCCACACCAGGCTTCTACGTTAACAGTAGCCTGGGACCCGCTGCTTGATTATGTCGGACCACCCAACGTTCAATGACGCTGGCCCGGATGGGCCACTACCAAATTCATCAATAAATAGGATGAAATCAACATGTTCTTTCTTTTTGACTACATTAACCTAAAAAAAAAACATGTATGACCTTACACTATTTCAAGTTTTAACATGGGAGCCGTTCATTTTGTTTTTTTTTCAAGGTACCAAGTCACTGGAGACCTGGGGTGGGAAGGGAGATGGCTCAGTCGCAGCCTCCCGTCATCCTAGCTGGGAAGAGGAAGATGACAGCGCGGTAGGGATCTGGAACAGCACTGGCTCCCAAGGAAGTAGTTCCTCCTTTCACTCAGGAGGCTGGAGTCATGGTGGAAGGCGAGGCAACATGAAGGTTAGTAAAACTCGAGCGTTCAATGAGGAGGTTTCTCCTTATATTAGAAATCGAGACATTATTTGACTCTTAGTGGTTTTTAGTATGTGGCGCATGAGCTTTTTTTTTTTCATTTGTAGGCTGTATTGAGTCGTCCTGTTCTTACATTATATGACTGACAATAATGTTTAAATTTCTTCCCAAAGGGTGGGAGTGGAGACAGCTGGCTGAATCCAATCTCACGACAGTTTTCAAACATGGGTCCTCTGGTAATGTTTTTATCCTTCGTAAAAATATATGTATTTTTCTTGATCTTTTACAAATGCAACAAATACACTGACAGTCAATAATACCGCCACCAACATTTGATGAATGTGTCCTTCTCACAAGTAGCTTTCATTATTGTTGCATTGGTCAATCTCAGGGTGAAGACCCCAGCATAGAGAAGAAGATGGAAGGAGACAAGAGAGGGATGGCTGACTACAATGGCGACATTCGGAGAGGAGGAAGAGGTGGAGGAGTTTACCGCATGTCTAATGCCAAAGACATGGGCCCTGTTGACATGAGCACCTATGGTGAAAAAGTATGAACACCTTTTTCATCTTGGCAAAAATTCGTATCAAGTCAGCAGCAGGGTTCAACATTAACGATGGCTTAGCACCACTATTTGACCGTGTTGGGCCATGTGTCCGTTAATCACCTGCCAAGCTTGTCGATTGATGTGGTAATTCTATGCATCAGTTAACTTTGGGCTTAGAAGTAGAGATCAACACATCACTTATTAATACACTGTTTCCATTATCCCCTTCCCACAGATGGGTAGCCACGGAATGTATGTTGGAAGTGGTGGAGGGATCCATCAGTCCCGAGGGATACACCAACCTGGCTTGCATCCTCTGAACCCCTCTCCAGGGCTTCGAGCTCAAGTGCCGCATCCGTTCCTGTCTGCTCAGGTCCTGCGTGTCTAATCTTGTTGGTCATGAGTTCCCGGTAATCATAGCTGATTGACATATTCTTGGCCAGAAAGTTAATACTGCGTAGAAAATAGAAGAAAGGACTGGGTGTAAAGGAGAGGAGCGGCTAAACTCTGCTTTTGAGAAGTTTCATATCCAAAAAAAAAAAGGGGAGGCTCCACAAAAAAAGTTTAGAAAGCACTGGTTTGTTATGAGTTATATGCACTTGTTTGTGACTACTAACAGTGCCAATTGATTCAAGATTATCAGTTTAATTAAAAAAAAAAAAGCAGCTTTGTGTTTTCTCAAACTCTTTTGTTGCCTCTCCTTTGACATATAGGTGCCGGGTTCTATGTTGAAGCAGATGCCGTCTCCTGGTGGCAGTGTGCTTGGAGGAGTAGGAGGTGTCGGTTCTGTTGGTGGAGCTGGGAGTGTTGGTGGAGGAGTGTTCCCTCCTCAGATTTCCCCACAACAATTAGCTGTGCTTAGCAACATCTACCCCCACGTGCAGCAATTCCATCTGGTACATGACTACATTGTAAATTGAATTCTGAATTGTTTTTAAGTCTCATCGTATCCCAACAGGAGAACTATGGGTTCTGTTTGTTTTCATCTCAGAATCGATTATTTCTCCCAAGTCTCGATTCTAAGGTTTATTACAATGCATAAACATCATTTTCATTACTTAAGTGTGCATAAGTGCAAAAATTTCACTTGTCAATTTTAATTACATTTGTATTTGTTAGTAGTATTATTATTATATTTTTTGTCATTTAAAAAAAGTGTCACCAACAGCGTTTTGTCAGTGTGCTTACCGCGACCTAATGTTAGCATCACCATATCACTTTATCTTTTTCAAAACCCACAGGCTTGTCAGCTCTTGCTACAACAGCAGCAGCAGCAACAACAGCAGCAGCAGTTTCTGCAAAACCAACGAAAGTTCCCTCAGCCACAGCCACTCAGACAGCAGCCAGATCCACAGCAGGTCAACATTATTCCGCAAATTCCCCTCTGCGTGACGGCAGCAACGATGTCATAACAATAGCTTCTTGAATTGTCATGAATACACTGGACATCAACTGTTCCAATTCATACTATTGATAAGAAATTCCTTTTTTTTTTTTTTTTTTTTTTTTTTAATGCAGTGTATTTTTCTGATAGTGATTTATTTGCCTGATTCTCAGCTGGCAAGGATTGTTGCAATTCTCCAGCAACAACGACATCAACATGGTGGAGTAGCAGCCGGGAGCTCAAAATTATCCCCCTCTCACCTTGGAGGAAGTCTGTCGAAACAGCCCATGGGTGACTCGTATCCACCTCCTGGAGTGGGAGGCCCCGTGTCAGACCCGCATTCCAAAATGCAAGGGGTGTACTCCGGTGAGTGCAACAGGCGCAGTTTTTGTTATTGTGTTTCATTTTAATAAAGGTAGAATTAGGCGGCAAGGTTTCTTACTTCAAAGGATATCCCCTTGTGATGCATCATCTCATTTTCGAAGGGGTCCTTTCAACACATAATTGAATGATTAAAATTACACTAATTAAATAAAATACAAAATGATAGTCACAATTTAATCCACAACATTGAAGCACAAACACCCTTTTTTAAACACACTCACACCCAACACACACTTAATGCTCCTCTCAGCCTAGCCTCTCACATATTTCACAACATACATGTGTACATTTATAATAATCTAAATGTACATGCGCAGCTTCCGGTACATGTTGTTTGTCTTTTGGCTTAGTACAGTAAGTACTGCGTCTGGCCCCTCCAAATTCACTGACGCTGGACTGACTGATGTTAAATCCTGCAATAAGGAATGCTTTGAACAAGACCTAAATGTAACATGTTAAATATTCTGTTTGATTTTTATTCTACGATCTAAAACATAACATAACCACCCAAAAGGGCTTCATATGGGATCCTACGCCGTAGTTGTGTAGGCTTTCTCCGAATACCCTGACTTCCTACCACATTCCTAATGGATGGATAGATGTCCTATTTTATGTGGTTGTCTGAGATTTATTAAATGTGCAGTTTTTAAGTAAGTGAAGAAACACTGTCAACATTTTATATATTGCACAACACAAAATATATATAGAGTACATTGATTACAATTTTGAGGATTGTTCTGTATCATGTGTGTGCGTGTCGAAGTTTAGTGTGACACTGCAGACATGCACCTGTACATTTTGGTACAGAGAACTCTACCTCGGATCAGTCTGATTGAGACTCTAAACTTGCATTCCAAGTTTTGGGAGGGTAAACATGCTCCTTTAGATATACTGTACAGGAGTTTGACTTGAACATGTTTAAATGTCCATGTTGGTAACCCATCAGGATTGGAACTTGGCAGTCCCATGATCGGGGGGTTGAAGGACATCGGAGGACAGCAGTCACGCTTCAAATGGATGATGGAGGGACATTCCCCAGCTCCATCTCCCCCTGAGTCAACACTTCTCAAGAATGGTAGGTCAGCAGATGGTTTGTCACCGAATTTTTACCACCTCACAAACCTCAATCTGGTCTTGACTCACCCTCGTTCACAGTGTATTTTAATGAACCATATTGAATGGGGAATGTTTTGAATCAAAATCATATCAATCCACAGTATTATTTGGCTGGACTGTATTTATCTCTTGCACACCATTTATTAAGCATTTAACTGCTGCATTAAAGGCGAGTGGGGGCTCACCTTATTTCCATTAACCGATTCCAAATGGTGATACTTTGGGTATTCTCTCTTAAGGCTCCACAGAAAACTGGCAGCGTACGCCTGGGAGCAAAATGGGGAACAAGACTTCCACATCCAGTTGGCCACCAGGTGATTATTAATTTTGGTACGATTGCCTTATGGAAAAGTAGAACAAGCAGAAAATTAAAAATAACTTAATATAACTAAATAAAATAACTTGAGTTAAAGGCCTCTGTACATGACACACTTACACACAAAGGTACGGCTTTACCACTGAAGAAATTATTGTGCTTTTTTTTTTTTTTTTTTTAATAGTACTATGTATGAAAATGTTTTATATGGATTAAGTCAGTAGCAATAGTAATTATCATTATGATTATTTTGTTTTTCTTCAACGATGTTAGAGTTCCAGCCTGGTGTCCCCTGGAATGGGATGCAGAATAGTGGAGACCCTGAATCTGACCCCTATATGACCCCCGGTAGTGTTCTTGGCTCCCCGGGACCCCCAAACCTCAATGATTCTGACCATCAGTTATTGCGAGACAACATAGGTATGCCAAATAGTTTATTCGTTATTCCATGTTCATTTTATTTATTTACTTTAATAACCACTATATTCAGAGAGCAAGAGAGGACTACACACGCACACTGAAAGCAGAGAGTAGGTTGCAAGGTCTTAGAATGATAGTCCTTCTGCAGTCTGGGTGGAACTATTTTTCCCCTCTGCCTAATAAGATGCTTTACACTATTTTCCAGAAAATGAGACATGATGGGTTTTGAGCCATTATGTTCATGCATTGCTAGTTCTTTGTAATTGTCTATTTTTTATTGACATCTAGACAGTCTATCCAGAATCTTAGTGGCTCATGACTGTCTTGCATTATAATGTACCTAACTCCAAATAATCTGGCAATGTTTTAACAGGGCCAAATCCTGCCCTCAACACCTCACTGCCTTCACATGGTGCCTGGCCCTACAGTGCCTCAGACAGCCCACTCAGCAAAGCACACGGTACAGGTAAATCCTGGTGTCCTTACGAATATTAGTTCAGAAACTTTGTTTTTATCAGTAAATTGCTTGCACTCTTCTTAATTGGTATTGAAGTGATGCAAAAAAAAAAAAAAAACCTCTAACAAGTAAACTGTACTTTACTGCTCTTTACTCCCTTTAGCAGGATTCATTTGTCAAACCTAGATTTCCTATTCACACCACCCCATTTTCTCTCCAGCAAAGTACTCAGAATATAAGTCCAGTTGGCCCCCTGAGCCCATCGGACAAAGTAAGTCGTGGAAGGCCGATCGCAACAGCTCACAGCTGCCACGCCCCCCTCCTGGCTTAACCAATCAGAAGCAGGGCACACCCTCTCCTTGGGGAAGTGTCGGCCCACGGGTAGCCCGGAGCTGGGGTGGGGGTGGTGTTAAACAAGACTCGAGATTTGGGCCAGGTACTGAAACTTGACTCAGGTCCAAGATAATATGAAGTCTTTATTCAAATCTGTCATGTCCAGTAAATGCCGTTTTTGTTTTTTTTTTTGCAGGCACAGCTTGGAGTGATGGTGTGGCTTCGAGAGGCAGTTCCTGGTTGCTGTTGAGAAACCTGACACCACAAGTAAGGAGGGAGTACAAGAAGGAAACCATTTATTTCAAAAGACTTGTTTTCTAAGACGATTTAACGATGATGAATGAAAAATGAATGCTTGTTGGATCAGAACATCTTAAAGCTGAGTTGTCATTCATCTGTATTCTCAAACAAGACCAGACAGCAAAATTATCACCGGGCTTGCTTTAAGTGGATTGTAAAGTTAGACAAACCATTCAACCAGATATGGGTTTCACAATTTGTTACCAAAACCGACCGTTACGATGATGATAACCTTTGTGCTCATGATTTATTTCTCTTTCTACACACCCGAATCAAGTTTACAGCCTAATCCCATCTTCTTCTTTCCCTATAGATTGATGGCTCCACACTTAAGACGATATGCATGCAGCATGGTCCCCTTTTGACCTTTCACCTTGGCCTTACCCAGGGCAGCGCGCTGATTCGCTACAGCAGCCGTCTTGAGGCAGCCAAGGCCCAGGGTGCACTGCACATGTAGGTTTATCAATACCAACGCTCATGCCGTCCCTCATTCCAAAAATAACTCTGTGTAGAATCATCTCATCACAAATATCCACCCATTCAACAATTTGCTGGTCGCACTCTGTTCTGAAGCCAATATTTTAGAATGTTAAAAAAAAAAAATCCAGTTAAACAGGCAAATGAGTCATAATAGTGTATAATGGGGCATTATTTAATAGCTTTGTCATTCAGAACACAATGCTGGCAGTTACATGACTCGCAACTCCTTTTCTTTGTAGGTGTGTACTGGGGAACACCACAATCCTGGCAGAGTTCCTGAGCGAGGAGGAAGTTTCCCACTATTTTGCACATTGCCAGGCTGCAGGCGCTGATGTGACGAGCACAGGACTCCTTGGGGAAGTGTCGGCCCACGGGTAGCCCGGAGCTGGGGTGGGGGTGGTGTTAAACAAGACTCGAGATTTGGGCCAGGTACTGAAACTTGACTCAGGTCCAAGATAATATGAAGTCTTTATTCAAATCTGTCATGTCCAGTAAATGCCGTTTTTGTTTTTTTTTTTGCAGGCACAGCTTGGAGTGATGGTGTGGCTTCGAGAGGCAGTTCCTGGTTGCTGTTGAGAAACCTGACACCACAAGTAAGGAGGGAGTACAAGAAGGAAACCATTTATTTCAAAAGACTTGTTTTCTAAGACGATTTAACGATGATGAATGAAAAATGAATGCTTGTTGGATCAGAACATCTTAAAGCTGAGTTGTCATTCATCTGTATTCTCAAACAAGACCAGACAGCAAAATTATCACCGGGCTTGCTTTAAGTGGATTGTAAAGTTAGACAAACCATTCAACCAGATATGGGTTTCACAATTTGTTACCAAAACCGACCGTTACGATGATGATAACCTTTGTGCTCATGATTTATTTCTCTTTCTACACACCCGAATCAAGTTTACAGCCTAATCCCATCTTCTTCTTTCCCTATAGATTGATGGCTCCACACTTAAGACGATATGCATGCAGCATGGTCCCCTTTTGACCTTTCACCTTGGCCTTACCCAGGGCAGCGCGCTGATTCGCTACAGCAGCCGTCTTGAGGCAGCCAAGGCCCAGGGTGCACTGCACATGTAGGTTTATCAATACCAACGCTCATGCCGTCCCTCATTCCAAAAATAACTCTGTGTAGAATCATCTCATCACAAATATCCACCCATTCAACAATTTGCTGGTCGCACTCTGTTCTGAAGCCAATATTTTAGAATGTTAAAAAAAAAAAATCCAGTTAAACAGGCAAATGAGTCATAATAGTGTATAATGGGGCATTATTTAATAGCTTTGTCATTCAGAACACAATGCTGGCAGTTACATGACTCGCAACTCCTTTTCTTTGTAGGTGTGTACTGGGGAACACCACAATCCTGGCAGAGTTCCTGAGCGAGGAGGAAGTTTCCCACTATTTTGCACATTGCCAGGCTGCAGGCGCTGATGTGACGAGCACAGGAGGGGCTGCATCTGCTGGTACGCTTGGTTCACCTGGAACTGGCACCGTAGTGACCCCAAGTGGGGCTAGCTCTCCAAGAAGTGAGGGGGCTGTAGCGAGCACCATCTCAGGTGGAGAGGGGAGTGGCAGTGGAGCGGAAAGTGGTTCCGTAGGTCCGAGTGGTGTCATGTCCCCGGGTTCTGGTTGGCAAGGTCTAGATGGTACAAGTAGCTGTTCAGAAACCTCCTCAGTCCAAGGGCCCGGTTTGGGGATTTTTTCCCAGTGGAGCACCAATGGAGCAGGAGGGGTGGGAAATGTCGGTGGAGTAGAATCTGGGAGGTCCGGACTTTGGGGGGGCATGGCTGCAGGATACCATGGCAGCAGTCTGTGGGGGGCACCGCAAATGGAGGAGAGGCACCAAATGGACAGTCCTGCTGCGTTGTTGCCTGGTGATTTGCTGGGCAGTGGAGCTGATTCAGTCTGAAGAGCCTTCTCCTTTTGTAGGTTTGGACACACTGATATTGCATACACTGGGATACGTTATGTATTTTACAATAGCACATCAACACATATACAGATATGCATATATTAATGTTCCACACATGTGCATACATATACATTGTTTGCATATCAACGTGCTCACGCATAAAGAAGAAATGTGAGACATGCTTACACACATTCTTGTGGCCAGATTTAAGCTATTATATAAATAAACGCAGGGACTGTTAGTTGTATACAGCCTTTTTTTCCACAGATGAAGATTTCAACTGCTTAGACTTGAAAACTGAATAAGATTGGTCAGTCAGTTGGTCTGAAAGACTAAACTAGACTGTATTGTGCTTAGTAAATGGAAGACTTTTGAAAAGATTTACATTCATACACCAAAATCAGACGCACCTTTTAAAATAAGGGCACTGTAAACTGCATTATCTTCATTGTATGAGAAAACTTAAAACTACTACATGATGTGAAAGGTGCAGTTTATTTTCACACACCTGGAAAAATGACATTGACCCAACCACACGCAATCAGCTCTGAATAACAGAACTGCATCTTACTGTGTATGTCAAGTTTGTCTCTATTTTTCCAGTTTATATGTAAGGCTTTAATTTTGGAATTGTGAAAATAATGAAAAATGTTATTTTGTTTTCAAAATGCTGACCTCCTACTGTTTTACCTTGCGCACTCTTGTTATCTCTTGAATATGTTTGTTACTGTTGCAGTGATAAATGTTAAATTGAGGCTTTGTTGCATTTCTCCATGTGTGGATCCAGTATCATTCACACTATGGACATGAGTATGAGTGGGACTGAGACCAAGTAAGTGGATTCATTTACCACTGTTAATTTGTGTGTGTGTGTGTGTGTGTGTGTGTGTGTGTGTGTGTGTGTGTGTGTGTGTGTGTGTGTGTGTGTGTGTGTGTGTGTGTGTGTGTGTGTGAGAACGAGTGTGCATGTTGCCTGTCAGAATTGCAGGCAAGGCTGCTTACCATACAGAAGGTCTATACAAAATTTGTGTTCATTGTACTGCTGACTGTGTTAAGAATATTGGCACTAATGCTTTTTTTTCACTTATTAGAAGGTGTTTGTTTTAGTGGAGTTAGATTTTTCTTGTTCAAACTGCAATAATTCAAGAAAAAAATGTTAATGACACAAACAGGTCAAGGCGTATGCGTTGGGGGGGAATTGAAATGCCAAATCTTAAACTGTAGACGGGGTGGGCGGGTGGCTTGGGTTGTTTACAAATGCAGAAAGAGTTACCATATGTTTGTAATGTTCTGATGATGTGTGTTTGTTCTGAATTAAGACAGGCTTTAACACTCCTGTTCTTTGTTTTTGTTTCGAGATTTTACAAAGGAAAACATATTTAAACTAATGAGAACAATATTAATAAAGTATTCGCTTGTTTTAAATGTGTATTGTAGTCACTTTTGGGATTCCATTCTTGTTTCTAAACTTAGTGTGATTTGAGATAAAAACCTGCTTTTCAACTACGTACCATAGCGACTTTGTGTATTTTAGGATGGGGGGGGGGGGGTCGATCCGTCTGTCCCCAACTACCGTCCTGTCATGCCAAAACCATTCCTATTTAATTAACACCGACGTCCTCCAATTGGTAGCGACTGCTTAATTTAAGAAAGTATTCACCCCTTCTAACTACTACATGATTTGATTTATTTATGCATGCGGGAGACTGAAATGTTGCCCATCGCATGTTTCTAGAATGTCTTGATAACACGGACAATTCTACGGAAAAAAAGTACATACAGAGAGTTCGTAAGGACTACGAATGGTTTCACGATGACGACAGAGTGAAAAAAATTGTGGTTGTGCATGATTTCGTGCATCAAGGGGTAAAATGTTTGCGTTGTTCCATAAAACCCCGTGCCCTGACGTCGGGAGAATGACATCATCAACGCTTAAGTACCTGTGGGCGGGGGGAGAGGGGGCAGATTCGTGGAAGGGAGGACTGCCGCTCGTGCCACCGGAGGTTCTCAGGGACGATCAACAGGGAGTGCAACCGACGACAGAGCTGCGAGCTGGGGGAATGAGAGCCGCTAGAATCCGCTCCAATCCTCCTCGACCAAGGCTCCTACCCGCCTGACAATTACCGGGACACAATCTTCAGAGAACCAGCTTTCTTACGAATCCAATATCGGGTAAGTGGAGGGTTCGGGAACCGGCGAAACCAGGGGGGAAAAAGGGACCTGATTTGGCCGAATCAGAGTCTACTATTCACGGTTTAGCAACATAGGGGGAGGGGGTATGTAGATGGCCATCTCTATCAACATCGAGCAGTCTCGTGTAAGGATGGGTGTGGTTTTAGGTTAAAATACGAAATATGAACATATTACTTGACGTTCAAAGTCAAAAGCTTATGTTAATGTTGATGAAATGGTGCAATTGTTACGTATCAAGGTTCTGGCTAACCCACCACTAAGTAACGCTAGCTTACTCTTCCGAGCTAACGGTGTATTGACACCCATTCTTCGTTATTAAAAGTCCTTTTCAGGCATGTAAATGCATTTTTCTACATTTCCGTTTTCGCCACATGGATAGCCCAAGGTGCAGGAAATTTTCACAAAACGTAATGGTTTAGAATTTCGCTCTTGTCTGTTAAGCTCCATCGACCTGCTCTTCATGAAATTGCTAACATAGCTGAATACATCTTGGCTGGCGTTTAGCAACAAACTGTGCTGTATGTATTTTATTTTATTTTTTTATCTTATTGATCTGTAGTAGGACAGCTCGGAGCTGGTTGTCGAATTTGGAATGTGCGTTGACATTGGAATGACAGCAGTATGCGAGACATTACAATGCTGGTTTTCATTCGTGATTGTGAAATCCTTTGGCTTTAGGGCTGTGACACTTGCTTTTTTTTCTCATTACTATCAAAAGATTTTGTACTTAAAGATTACCAACCACGCAACTAGAACGACATGATGAGTTCACTTTTGAGACTATCCAAAATAGTTTGCAGGAAACCCTTCAACCAAACTGACCTGTAAATATTAACTAAAATGTAACCTGGCCATTGTCCCGTTGATGACTTCCACAATAGCTTTATCAGCTACATTGTGAGTCCATGGCCCCATCAACCCCCAAAGGCTGTTGCTGTCATATTTATACACAGAACTCAGAAATTAAAAGTTACAGGGGGAGGCAAATTTAGCAGCCACTCACATGTCATTACTTTTCATTAGCTGTCTCTGCCCTAGTTTTCCAGACATTATTATAAACATTGTCAGTCTATTGCAAGGCTTGGGGGGGACAATTGGCCACATGACTCACCATGCAATTCTATTTTAGTAACCCTTAAGCCACACAACTTTTGACTCGTGAATGATTCGACGTAATGTCAAAAATATTAGCGATCATTGCATTTTCTTTTGTGTAAATGTAGTAGTGCCCCTGAAGGACGTAACTATAATGGGCCCTGTTAGGAAAACTATTCCCCAAAGCTTTTCAAATGACATCTGGATTATAACTTTTTAAAAAAAAAAAGAATATCAGTGCACCAGCACATGTAATGTATATCTACTGCGCTTTGTGTTTTAACCATCACATGTAGTTAAACAAGATGATCAAAATATCAAATACACCTCTCCTCACTTCCCACTGTGCTCGAAATAGCAATACAGATTGGTTATTATGCCCCGGTTTGTTTTTAACAATGAAGCAGGATGTGTAGCTAAAAAGATGCATATTCAGATGCAATGTAAATAAACCAGATGGACCTGATCTCAACCAGGCTGTGTAAAAGTGTGTGTCACCGATCCTCCGCCACGTACCGGTAATTAGATCATGGCACTTATTGTGTCACTGTGTGCTAAATCAGATACCGAACTGCATGCAGACCACGAGACACTCTTGTGGTGTCTTGAAACCTAACCCTTTATGAACCTAAATCCATCACTTCAACAAAGGCAGATTGGCTTTCTGTGGCAAGACGGGGGAGGGGAGGTGGGGCTTCTGTGGCCTCCATTTTTAAATGTGTCGCATCATCAGGTGTTTTCATGTGAAAATGGGCCAAGTGCAATGACAGATTTGTGTTTTGCGCCATGATGGTTGCAGAGATGTTGTGATACAAGCGCATGTAAATGTGAATATGCCTGTCAAAGACAGACATTTGAATAAAATGGTAAAATTCAGGGTAACAAAAAGAAATTCCCACACCAAGGATCAAGACTTCAGGAGACTGTTCATTGGTAATTCAGAAAGATCGATTAATTGCTCGTCAGATTGATTGACAATTCCTTAGAGCCACTCTATAACATAATATAGTCATCAATTTATGGGGAAAAAAATAGATGTAAGCTACAGGTTTTTCAAACTTTGCAGATAATGAGAATAATTTAAACCTGAAGTAACCTCTGAAGTGTACGTATTTTAAACTATTCGCCCTTTGCATTAATTTGTACCCAAGAAGCATCTCTCAGTTTCAAAGATTTTGGGAAGTACAACGTCGCTCCTTCTCGTGTGACATTGCTTTCTTGTTGTTTATTTGGTTTCATTTCATCGTTTTTGTCATCGATTCGGTGGCTTCATTAGTTCGAATGGCGCCCTCACTTATCTGCACTGTTTGCACTAACTATATTGCTGCAAATAGACAGAAGCTAGTGCCAAGTCTTATTAATTAAACTGTGTGGATCCTTACCTATAAAATAGTAGTCCATGTCATTTCCCCCCCCCTTTTTTTTTTTTGTTTTTGTTTGTTGGCTTCAGAAAAAAAAACTTGAACCAAATACTAATAAAACTATTCATTGATAATTTAGATTAGATTAGATTAGATATCCTTTATTTGTCCCACACTGGGGAAATTTACAGCCTTCAGCAGCAAGATTGTGGGTAGAAAGAAGAGAAAAGAAAACACATTTCAATTAAGTGCAATATAAATACAAACATGGATAAGGTCAATAATTAAGTGCAATATAATACAATAGTCACAGTACTATTCACATATGTTGTCATATCATTTAAATAATTCTATGCTTTATTGATTTATTCATTTTTTATTCAGCAGCCTGACAGCAGTCGGTAGGAACGAGCGGCGGTATCTCTCCGTCTTGCAACGCGGGTGTAACAGTCTCTGACTGAAGGAGCTACCGAGTGCTGTCAGGGCTGGCTGGAGGGGGTGGGAGGGACTGTCCAACATAGCTTTTAGCTTAGCTAGCATCCTGCTGTTGCCCACCTCCTCCAGAGTGTCGAGGGAGCAGCCCAGGACAGAACCAGCCTTCCTGACTAGTCGCTCTAATCTCTTCCTATCCCGGGCCGAGATGCTGCCTTATATAAATAATTTCATTTCAGCGATAGAATTGAATGATCAGTTTAGCTACGGATGTAGCCAATTTTAGTAGAGTTGGCTGGCAACTTCCTGAAATGTCCCCCCCAAATGTTTTTTTCATCAAAATAACAAAAGATTTAAGCCTGGTTTTTATGGCAAGATTGTAAAAATGTCGACAGTCTTCCAAAACCTTCGAGGCCCCACGGATGACGATGAAAAAAATCACGGCTATTAACAGTTTTTAACGGACAGTGTGGTATTCAACCTCATGGCAAAATGAACACAACACACTAGCCGAATTCACTCACGAATATTCATTCCCACGTCAGACGAGAAATCTCTAAACATAACTTCAGAGTACAGCGAGACTTAAAACGGTCCATTTAACAAACAATGGCCTCGCTCATTTGTCAGTGGGTCATTGAAAAATCCAGAGGCTGACTGGAAGTGTATTTTTTAAAAATGTGCAGCACTGTCTGTTTTGGTCCGCACTCCCTGCAGCTTCTCTAGAAGGCACAGTTTGTTTCAGTCGTGTACCCAAAGTGTTTTGTCGGGATGCAAATCTCTTTAGTGAAGTCATGCGCCGGGCTGATGTGCTTTCTGTAGCATTTGACTCTCGAGTCCATTGCGCAGACTCGTCCGAGGGCCATGACACGGATGAAGCCGGGCGGTGCGCTCTCGCCGCTGCCTTCCTTCACCCACCAACGTTAGTTTAGGGCTTAGTCTTGCTTTCACAGGGGCTGCAAAATGTGGCGTGGAAGAATTCTGAGTGCATGATGATCCCGCTCCAGCCCAGCAAACTCAACATGCCACATTTTTTTCTTCTGTGCCAAGTCGCCATAGTCATCCGGTTGGTTTTCCCCCTCTCTCAAAATCAACTTCTCTTCCAATTGGCAACTGTGAATTCTGCCGAGCCCACGTTTTGTTGTTTCTTTTCCCCCCCGCCCTTGTTTTTGCTGATCTCACTGCAATCACCTACCCCCGGCCAGCTACCCTACAAATCTATTCGTGCATGACTGGAGGGCAGACAGCTGTTGGCTGATCTACTCTCAGTTCTCATCCTAACTCTGATCATATCGATGTGTCTGACTGACGCGGTCGCTTGCTCCACCACTCGATATTTACTCTTTTA